GTGTGTGTGTGTGTGAGAGAGTGTGTGTGTGTTATTAGAACATGTGGCAGCACTTACCACAGTCTTTTTAAAGGCATTTCCCTCCTCGTCTTCCTCACCACTCTCTGCTCTGCTTGTTTTAGCAATAAAGAATTCCCAGGCCTGGTTTGTTATTCCCCAGAAAGTTTCTCTTTTTTTGTGTTTATATGTTTATGTTACAGAAACACACCTGTACTTACTGTCACCTGAACTTATCGTCACCTGAACTTCTCGTCACCTGAACTTCTCGACACCTGAACTTCTCGACACCTGAACTTCTCGACACCTGAACTTCTCGTCACCTGAACTTATCGTCACCTGAACTTATCGTCACCTGAACTTATCGTCATCTGAACTTATCGTCACCTGAACTTATCGTCACCTGAACTTATCGTCACCTGAACTTATCGTCATCTGAACTTATCGTCACCTGAACTTATCGTCACCTGAACTTATCGTCACCTGAACTTATCGTCATCTGAACTTATCGTCACCTGAACTTACAGTCACCTGAACTTACAGTCACCTGAACTTACCGTCACCTGAACTTACCGTCACCTGAACTTACCGTCACCTGAACTTATCGTCACCTGAACTTACAGTCACTTGAACTTATCGTCACCTGAACTTATCATCACCTGAACTTACCGTCACCTGAACTTACAGTCACTTGAACTTACAGTCACCTGAACTTACAGTCACTTGAACTTACAGTCACCTGAACTTACCATCACCTGAACTTACCGTCACCTGAACTTACCGTCACCTGAACTTACCGTCACCTGAACTTACAGTCACTTGAACTTACAGTCACCTGAACTTACAGTCACTTGAACTTACAGTCACCTGAACTTACCGTCACCTGAACTTATCGTCACCTGAACTTATCGTCACCTGAACTTACAGTCACCTGAACTTACAGTCACCTGAACTTACAGTCACCTGAACTTACCGTCACCTGAACTTATCGTCACCTGAACTTATCATCACCTGTCTTTAAAGGTTTCAAACCCACACTTTTTATTTTTGCTCCCACTGACGTCCGTGAGAAAGATTTGCTCTCACGGTGCTGATGAATGCGTGAACAAACACAGCAGACCCCATCTGTGAACAATCATTATCTTACCTGCTGCAGATGGTTCTTGGAACAAACATTTTGAGCAGACTGAGGAGCTAAGGGCTAGTCTAAGACCAAAGTGGATTAATGCCACCATAAAAACAAATAGCTGTTCATGGAGAAACTCATTTATTTTGAATGCTCTATGGTTATTAGCAGCAGCTTCACTTCCTGTAGGAGTATCATCATATGTGTCAAAATTAATAATAGTAATTTAATGTTGACACTTTTCAAAAGTTTTCTAAAGTACAGATTTAGGTTTTAAAAAAAGAATATCTCACTTTGGGTTAGCCATTAGCTCATCAAACAGTCCGAATATTTTCTTAAGTTAGCCGTTAGCTCTTTAGTCAGAATGTTCACTTTGTTAGCCGTTAGCTTGTCAAGCAGATTATTTTCTTCAGTTAGCCGTTAGCTTGTCAAACAGGTGATGGAAACATTTCATGCTCTGTATCTCATCTCAGAAACAGCTGATTAAAACCTGTTAAAACGATGCAAAGCAGCAGCAGCAGCTGGTTGTTTTACAACAAGGAGAGTTTCAGTCGATTCAAATCATCCTCGGGTGTCTCGCAGCCAAGGTTCAACTTGTGGTTTTGACTTATCAAAGCTGGCTGAAACGCTCTGTGTTCTGCAGAAAGAGCTGCTTTACATGAAGCTCTGATACCGTTTTATACCGACACCAACAGAACCATGTGTTCACAGAGGTGAGCCTCTTATCCAAGCCCCTGCAGACCTGGGAGGTCAGACAGGTTTTTGTAACGGACTCGGTGGAGTTTTGCCTCGCGGCTGGAATGTGGCGTCAGTGACTTTGGAGCGTGCCCGAACGAAGACGAGCCGAACATTTCCTTTCAGTCCCCTCTCATTACAGAGTTACCCTGAGCTACTTTCAGAATAAATCTGCAGATTTTATTTTTACATTTACATTTAATTTTACACAAACAACGTTAGCTCTCAAATTAATGTTATAAGCTTGTGGTTCCACTAATTAGCTAATCAGCTAACAAGTTAATTTAACAATTTTTTTATTTAGTGGAWAAGCTTTTTCCGCTAACTTTAAAAACTGTTGCATACATGTCAACACCTTTGGACGTTTACCTGTATAATGAGTCTCAAAAATACGTAATTTTTGCAAAAAATCCATACCACTCGCTCCTGCACGGGGTGGGGTGTTGTCGGCCGGGAAGATGACGGTGCCTGCTGCAAGGCAGGAGGAAAGGAGGAGAAGGAGTGCAGAACTTACCGTATTTATTCATGTGTCTCAAGAATAATACAGTCATTTTTTGAGCTTAAAAAAAAACCATTAAAAATCTAATTATCAATAACCCGTGTATAATACTACCCACTCCACACACACACACTTTATGGATGATTTTTAGTGTTAAATTTCTAATATTATATACATGAACAAATACAGTATTTCTAGTTTTATTTCTAGTGGCAGGTTGGAAGATGGTTATTTGATGTTATTTATTGTTTTTATTTCATGTCCTACAGGCTCTGAAATGTTAAATTAATTTGAAACAGCTTTTGAAAAAAATCTGTGAGATTGCTCTTTACYTCTGTTTACCTGCAAAATCATGGAAAATCTGTGTAAATTATGGACAATCTGTTCAACTTGACATGTATGRCGTCAGCAAACCAGTTAGCTTCTGCTAAATTCAGTTTTGCTAACTTTGAGTCRGCTAACAGCTAGCTAACAAGCTAACATCAGGTTTGTGTCAGTCCCACCCGTCTTCAGCTGGATGGAGACGAAGACGTGACGCTGACTGAGACAGTCGTATTAGCTAGTTAGCTGTCAGAATTAGCATAGCTATATTTTTAGTTAGCAGATTGAGTTAGCCAACGTGCTCACCACTGGCTAACACAAAATGAGCGCTAATATAACTCAAACGTCTGTTATGAGTCTTTTTATCAGCTTCCAGCTCTCAGAACCTCCTCGGTCGAGCTTCCCGGCAAGTTCAGCTTAAGATCTGACGTCAGCAGAACGCAGCTCACCGATTGGTCAGCCATCATTTTTAAACTAAACAACCGCAGCGATCGTTAAACAGTAATATTTATAAAAATAAATTCATTTAAATGCAGCTGCAACCGTTTCTCTGCCTGTTGAAGATGACAGAATCCAGACAGATCTGGATAGAATAGACGATGGATAGGTCTGGATCGGAGGAGGGAAGCTGATATTTTGGAAACTGACAGAACATGGTTTCATCAGAGCTCTTAAAAAAACCAACGAATCTCTTCTTTTTAAATGAACCACTTTTTTCACACGCGATTTAAAAACCGGTCGCTGTTGAAACAACGTTTTCCTTACAGATAAATCAAAAAAAAAAAAGATTTTTATCTGACTTGTTTCCCGTTTCCAGCAGAAAGCATTCACACACGTCACACTTCAGAATGAATAATTTCCTGACAAAAACGAGGCCTGAGTCATGAAACCACATGAAAGTTCCCCCACACTGATTAATCCAGTGCAGAAATAAAGAAGCACTTTGTTCTCTAAAATCCATTCAAAGCAAACCTTCATGATTCTTTAAAGCTAAACTCCTTCAAACTGACGGGAACAGAGCTTCGTTTTAAGATTGTTTCAGCACGTATTCGCTTATTTTTTGTAATTAGACTGTGAAAAACCTTCAACAGGAGCCTGAAGTTAAGTAATAAAACCTTCAGAACATTATAAACGTGTTTTTCTCAGGTTGCTGCTGTGACCAAATGACAAAACAAAACAGACACGCCTCATTCCTGCAGCCAGCGCAGGATTCACAGAGCCTCACACGCCCACAGCAGGATTCCACACAGGAGGTGGCCGTCGTTAATCAAAGAGAAACGGCGTTCGTACCGTTGTTGCTCTGTCGGACACAGTCCTGCATCACGGCGAGCCACTTCTTATGCTCCGCCTCCGTGGACACGCAGAAGTAGTGATGGCGAGCGTACGGGTGCCACAGGATCAGCGGGAACTTGGTGGCGAACTTGATGAAAGGGTTGCTGCCGACTTTGGCCTTCACACCTGAAATTAAAATAAACAAACAAAAGGTTTTATTAAAGTAAAGAAGAGCCACGCCCTCCACACATAAACCACCTGTCAGTAAATTATCAGAGTCAAAAAACAGAGCTTGAACTTCTGAATCCATGTGGGCGGGTCGGGATCAGGAGGTGTTTTACTAACAGACAAGTAGAAAAGGACCGGTGAATCGCTCTGTGCTAACGCCACTTCCTGTCTGCTCTAACATCACTTCCTGTCTGCTCTAACATCACTTCTTGCCTGCTCTAACATCACTTCCTGCCTGCCCTAACGTCACTTCCTGCCTGCTCTAATGTCACTTCCTGCCTGCTCTAACGTCACTTCCTGCCTGCTCTAACGTCACTTCCTACCTGCTCTAACGTCACTTCCTGCCTGCTCTAACGTCACTTCCTGCCTGCTCTAATGTCACTTCCTTTCTTCAGCATTCCCACCTGGCAGGCTGGCGTTCATCAGCTCCATGTACTCCTCCATGGAGGTCAACACTCTGTAGCCGGCACAGTTGATGGAGACTTTGGGATGAAGTCCCTGGCTGTGAGCCTGTCGACAAACAGTTTGAACACGACGTTAACGAGAATAAAAGAGTGTGTGTGTGTGTGTGTGTG